ACTAACAAAGAAAGTTTCCCGTGAAAATTAGACGATTAAACAACGAGTGGAAGCTTAATATTACTTTAGAACAGAGGACCACCAAAGATTCATTTTCTCATGACCGATGGAATTTTTGAAAGCTGTAGTGATCTACAAAACACGATAACCTCCCAAAATAAAAAAGTTTTAAGAATCTGTCAAATTCAAGAGAAAAGAAGTAGAGAATTTATTCAGTTCAAGTTTTCTGTGAACTAAAAGTTAGTCGTTATTAATTTACAACGTACATGAAAATTAGGATCCAATTATCAGTTTAGAAAAAGCTCCTACTTGACGGTGCTTGTAAATTGTTGTTCCGCTGGAAAGAATCTGATTTATAAGCACAAATTAAACAAGCGTTTCCCTACGAAATTTGTCTGCTTTTGTACGTCGCTCATCGTAATGTCACCCAAGGATTGTAATTCGAAGACCGGAATAGAATTGCTTGATGTTTTCGATTTCATAATGGTCTGTCTAACCCATTTCAAGTTGTTGTCGCGGATGATAACAATTCGCACAAGATAATATTCTTTGAGCCAGTTATAGGGTTTTAACGTATTACTTGTAATTGAGAAAGACCTCTTTCAGCCAACGATTATTGAGACAAAAGTGTAGGAAATTTTGAAATCGGAATTCATATAAGTGAAGAAAAAAAATTTGACTCGAGAAATTCTCTGATTGTCTGAGTCTTTGCGACCAAAAGAGAAGAAAACAGTTCAAGATTATTTTGGCTCCAACACATCAATTCTTTTTTAACAAATACTGATCAGTTTGCGTCAAATTATCCTGTGCAACAACACGAAAAAACATATGGCTGAAAAATGTATTTCTTGTAACAACATGGCAAGCTATATTTATCATGTTTAAGTAAAAAATTTAAATTGGAAACACGCCAGTTCGCAGTACACAAAAAGAAAAGCTTGCCTTGTTGCTCATTGTAAGAGTAGAGTGTATATCATTTTGTGCAAAAAAAAAATTCAAAGACAAATTACTCGAAGAAAAAAAGTCTTCAACGCTTACGAGAGGCTGTTTCAAAGTTTTCGTGACCAAAAATTTTGCACAAGGTGATGTTCGCATCAATTTTGGCCGAAAAATTAAGAGGAAGCCGTTTAAATTTTTTGTCGAAAATGTTGGCAGGGGAAACTTTGTGCAAATTGCTCCAAATTTTCCCGCCAAAAGTCTTAGTATATATTTGAAAAAACTTTAGTTGATTATTGAAAATCACTTAACTAATTAAAGGAAATAAGAAGAGAATATACTTGAATTGTTTATTGACTTATATACTTTGAGAACGAAAATAAAGATGAGAAACACAACGGCAAACAACATCGTCGGGTTTTTTTTACTTTATTTAATACCAAAAATAAAAATATTATTTTTAATATTCTAATTGCGAAAAAAAAACGGCGCATGCGTATTTTGAGCGCCTGTATTTTTCTAAGTTTTTTGGCGGGAAAATTAAAAATTTTGAACAGAGGTTTGCCTAGAAAAACGTGAGCAAGAAACAACACAAAAATTTAATTTTATTCCTGAATTTATCCTAAGCTTAAACTTCCTGAACTTTCGCGACGGTCTTAAATAAAATTGGGTTAATTTGCATCTTAAGAATGAAAATATTTGCGAAAAATTTTGGATAATTAACAAGCATAGCTGCAATTCGTTTCAAATATCCGTCGAAGTAGAAACCAGTTAACGTTGTTTTCTACCTTTGCTGTAAACTTGTCTATCGCTTGTGAAATTGTTTTTCTTTCTTGTTCTTTGAGTCTTGCTCGACTTGAAACAATACGGTGATCCAAAGAGCTGTGAAAAAAGAACAGTTAAAAATAAGCTCTGGGCCTAAATAAGTACATGGAAGCAAACGATAATAAGAAAACCAAGTAAGATTATAAACTAAACAACCTAAATAGCAAATAATGAATCTTAGAAAAAAATTTAACAAAAATTTACATTTGTTCTACAGGTGCACAAGAATTTGTAAATATGGTGTTTCGTAAAAGCCTGAATACGCTGTAACTTTATTGAATAAAACCTAAAGGTTGTCTTCCTGTATCGTTGACAATATAAAGATCACGCACTTCTAAATAGTCGTATACGATCAATTTCTAATATCAAATTCCATAAAGATTCGCTCAGCGAGCGACGTGATTACTTAAACATTTTCTTTATCTGATTATCATGTTAAAATTGCCTGAGATATGATTAAGAAAACACGGACTTCAAATTATCACAAGAGCTGATGTTGATATTTGTTTTTCGGCAAGATTTTGGTAGAACCCCAGTGTTGACTATGCATACATTTATTTGCTAAAAAAAAAAAAAAAACAATGGCGAATGCAAAAGTTTACCTTTGGGAGTGATGCTTTGTTTTAGAATAGTTGTGGGATATGCGGAAATCTTTTCTGTTTTTCCTATTCCACAAATAATATCATTTACGCCTTCTTGTTGCCAGCGTCTTTTTTGATAACTCGACAACATCTCTTTTTCCACTTCCGAAAAAACTTACTTATTTCTCAGAACGGATAAAGAAACAATTCAGTGTTCTCGTTCATGTGCAAATACAGACGAAAAAATTTACCCAATAAAGCACCCATTTCAAAACGTCGACAAGCTCTCTTTAAATAACGAGAAATACACACGACATTACCCGTTTGAAGGGTAACCATCCTAAGAGTTTCTTTGCCTCCTTAACAGATCTGATATTTTCTCTAGGACCAGTTCATCCCCATCATATCGTCGCCTCTTCACACAGACTGTACAAAAGAACGTGATTGTTAAATGATGAAGCTGGCCGTGTAAAGAAACTTAATTAAATAAAGCTGATTACAGCCTAAGACTTGTCAAGAGGGAAATAACCAAAATTCGTTTCATTAATTTCTTGGTAATGTCTGCGTTCCCACACGTATTTTTTGAGGAAATTAATGTAATTACCAGTATTTCCTGTAGAATTTTCTCTTATACAACGAAATCCGTATGTTACAAATACATTTGCAGACCAGAAAACTTGAGACTGTGAAGATAAAAACCAAGTCTAATCTTCGGTAAAGGAACAAGAGTTGTCCATCTTAGACATAAGAAACCCAACCAGTAATACCACATTTTCAGATCCGGTTAAGAAAATTTAAGAAGTTTTAGTGAAAAACAATCTCATTGCTGATAATCACTGTATAGAGGAATTTCTTAATAGTTCTTCGGTGCATAATGTCTCGTTTTCCAACCGCTGAATTAAATAATTCACCCTGAATGGACAAAAAAGGATTCCTTTTGCATTTCTGACGGCTAAGTTTAAATAAAACTGAAATGACAGAGAAGGTGGGTAAATAAATTGATGATGAAATAATTGTTCATCAAAAATTTTCATAGCGACTTTTGATTCTTCATTTCTTGTCACTTAAATTCAAGTTTGCATACGCTATTATCACCTTTAGAGATTTTTCAAAGACTGATATAAATAAAAAAGAAACCGATCAAATTCAAAAGCAACAAAACTTTGCTGAAGTAATATTTTCTTTCGCTCACTGTAAACCTGCAATTACCACCCCTACATTTCTCTGAAAAAAATGTCAAGGAGAACTCGTTAGTACTGGGGTCGGGTTTTATTGTGATCCAAGTGATCCAAGTGATCCCATAATACCTCCCCCCTCCAGGGATCTTCTGATCTCACTCCTCCCACATAGCAAACTAAGATGATTGAGTCCACCATTCTTATAAAACCACTAGTTATTTCTAAGGACTAGAACTATCCGTTACCAACAAAACACACTAACCATTCACCAAAACAAACGTCAAGAATACAGTATGAGTTACCTTCAGAGCATTTGTTTCCAAATCTTTGACTTTCCTCGCCATGTCATGTCCACGTGCAGGCGGTTATTTACCTGAGGCTGTGTTCTTTTAGGGCCACAATTCCACATTAAACAGTGCACTTCTTCTTCCAAACATACTGTTTCCCTTACAACGTCGAAAACGTTCACGTAAGAGAGCTCTTTGGCAGGCTAACGACTTAAGATTGTCTGCCATGCTCGTTACACGTTGATAGACGATGAATAATTCAACATTAATTACCTGTAATTTATTCAAAATAATTTTCTTTGCGTTTCTGGCCGAAAACGTGCGAACCCTTGTTTGAAATGCAAATCAATAAGAGGTTGTGTTTTGACTTCGACGAATAAGATATCTAAGTTAAGAAAAGCCAGATCTCATAATCTGCGCTTCAGATATGGAACAGAAAAAAAAGGACAGAGTAATAAAGTAATCCCACCAAATATTTATTTACAAAACTCTCATCAGAAAGTTGACACATCATTCTTACTTTAAATATATTTATAACTAATATTTTACAAATATATTTCAAATCTAACGATTAATATTCTTGAGTCCAGTTTCTACAGAAAATACCATATTTTAATCATACAGTATTCTCAGAATTCCTCAATCTACAACACTACTAATGGAAGAGATTTCGCCCATGATTGCCGCTACGGATTCATATCAAAGGTAATAAAAATTCAATTACACCGAACAGAATTTAGCATAGTTTGAGCATGCATATGCTGCTAAGCAATAATAAAATTTAAATAAACCTTTTTATCACTAATTTATTATTGATTTTCCAAAAAATAAAAATTGGCAAATGACGTAGACGCCTGCACCTCGTGTGACAATTATCCGATCTCAGCAAATTTTCTCTTCATCTTTGAGCTATTAGTAAACAGAAACACTACAACAGGTGAGATATGTTCCTATAGCGATGGTTTCTAGTTTTTTCCCGCCGCTAATTCTTACCTCACTATTATCATAAATTCTAAATATACAATATACAATAAATATTAGCAGGCTTTTAAATAACTTAAAATAAAGCCCTTGTTTTAGTGGTAGACCTTCATTTAAATAGTGTAGTGTCACAGTCAAACACGGTTAAGCTATATATTTATATAAGAAAAAAATGTAAACCATTTTTGACCCTCCCCCCCCACCCACCCACTCGTGTCCTATTTCTACCAGTTCAAAGTTAGAGGAACAGGGTCTGAGGACGTGAAACACAATAAACTGTTGTTGGATAATTTAGTTTTAGCGAGTTGAGAATGTCAATTAGCAAACGGCTAACGCTGAAAACGTTAGCTTTAGGACCTCTCTACTGTGGCCAATTTACCTTATCAACCCAGTAGATAAAACCAAATTATCTTGTCATATCCCATTGAGCAGCACCACAATTTCTTTAGAAACTTACCCCCTTAAAAACCATTGTTGATTGTGCATTTATTTTTTTCGGAAATTTAAATACTTTGTAAATCAAACTACTAAGTATTAAACTATGGTGTTCTAAACAAGTAGAGTCATTTTGTCACATTTCCTAAAAGAAAAAAAAAAGAAAACGAAAAAGGATAGTTTCAATGTAAAATCAATTCGTAAAGTACTAAAAGAACTCGTGAAATACCTTGAACATTTTTACAACTTGGAAGGCATTTGGATGCACTCACCTGCATAGGTCGTCCCTTTGTTTCATATGGAAGCAGTAGTGTTGCAACTAAAGACATCATGCTTAAGGATATATAAACAACAAGAGACAAGTTCCAGGACACTCGCAGCAATACCTGCAGCACCAACATGGAGGGAAAAAAAATACTCAAATCACCATTTAACCCATTACACTCAAACATTAGAATTCATATTCACCACACTGTTCTTGTTACACATCTTATGATACTGAAAAGGAAAATTTGTTTGACAATCAGAAGCTTCTTAAACTGTTGATCCTTTCCTTCATTCTCACATTCTTTCCATCTTATTCAAGGAAGAAACTGGGTGAAAATGAGTGGAGTAATCATCTAGCAGTAACTGACTGAAGAGGACAGGCATGGAAAAGTAGAAGGTAAAGTACCCTTGCTCTAACAAGCTTTGCACCAACATTATTCGCAGGAGGCCATTGTACAACTGGCAGTGAGGGACAAGACTTGAATAACAGTTTGTAACTGAAGGGTCTAATGGGTATGACAGCTCCACTAATCTGTCTCCTACCTGAGCTATGTAAGGTGTTAACATTCCTCCAAAACGAGCCCAGGTAGAACAAAAGCCAAATCCTAATGATCGGATGACTGTGGGATAAACCTAAAATAAACCAAAGAGCAAACACCAGTGCAGAAATTTTACATGAAGTGTCTCATTAAAGACTGGATTTCAAAACTTTTGTTCTTTTCACTATGATCTTTTTGAAGGAATAACAGCAACTTTAGGATCACCCTCAGGGTAATTCCACTAAAAATGTCATACAAGGAAAAAAATAATTATCCTGTAAAAGTATTCATGTAATAGCTCTCCACAGTTTTCCTTGAGAAGAAAAAATTGAAGGAAGAATTTCCATCAAAAGAAAGAAATTCCATGTGGAAAATTTAACCAAGGGAAAAAACCATGCAGCTCAAGAAATGGTAAACCAAGTCTAAAATCTTTCCACTGTTTGTCTGCACTGGTTCTTATTCATTACTAAATATACGCAACAATTGGTAGCAAATTACAATTCCAAACTGCAAATATAACTAATGCAAGAGCCTTACCTCAGGGGCATAAACGAAAAACCCTTGGAAGACACCTAATGACATCCCACGAGCCAGGAATAAAAGTACCAGCAGTAAAGTTCTGTTGAAGGGAAAAAAGTTCAGTTGAAGGGGAAAAAGTTAATTACAATTGTGTTTATAAAAGCACAAATGGTTGATAACACGAGCAAGAAATGGTTGGGTCATAGTTTCAAATTCCACACTTAATTGTTGCTGTTTTTTGAAATACTTGGCTTTTATCATCACACTTATAGCATTCAATTTTCAGTCCATCCCCTTCTCTATGAGGAAATCCAAGACTTGGGATACACTTATAATCAACTGCTGGAGTACCATATTTGTTACAAAACTGACATGAGTCCTTGGGACCATTCTACATAATCGTACATTTTAACCCTTTAACTCCCAGAAGTGATTAACATAAAACTTCTCCCTACAATATCCATACATTCTTCAACAAACAGGTCATGAGAATATTCAAACTTATCAGGTAGAAGCTGCTATCTTGATCTAGCACCAAGTTCTCATTACTAATTTACAAGGAAACGTGTAGCAGCTACAGGGTAGAATTAACAATTAGATCTTGGGTGTTAAAGGGTTAACTGTATTGACGGCACTTACCTTCCTGTGCAAATAAACATGAGTCCCAAGCATGCAGCTATTATAAAGAACTCTACAGCCAAAGTTTTTTTTCTACCAAGCCTCTCCATAAAGAGCATTGTAAACAATATCCCTGACAAAGAGAGAAAAAGAGAAACCTTTGACAAACTTATTCAACATAAAACAAAAATGGATTCTTCATTACTATAGGCCTTTTGAGTAAGAGCAGAGTTACTGGTAAAAGCTTGCCTTAAATGTCAACTCCAGTGGTCAAAAGGTTACAACCCTTAGTTACTCAGTAGTAGCAGTTGTACCAAATTGTAACCACAAGGTAGTAAGGAAATACTGTGTAGACTTTTCATGTTATAACAGTAGGGAGGGTGGAGAGAAGAAGGATATTATGGACTTACCAGGATACTCCGCAACTGTTGTCCAAAGAAGATTCATATAATCATTGACTGTAAGAAGTTGGCAGCCACATTCAGTAGTAGTAGTAGACAAACTCTCTAACAGAAATTAAGAAGGAAAAAATTCTGAAGATTAATACAACAACAAAATGATAGCACTGTTGACAACCTTGTCTTTGAGGTTGCATGATTTTTAGCTCTCCATTCTAACAATACTTTATGGTTTAACATAAAGTACATCACTAGAAGCAATGAGCAAAATGTCTGCTCGTATTATATGTTAAACATATTGTTGCATTAATCTGACGATGGTAATAGCTGCAAGAGGTAAATGCACATGAAAAAAAACAACAACAACACAAAGAAAACCAATTGGGCATCATTTACTACTTTGCATTTGAGCTGCAAAGTGGTGAGGTAAATATCCACCACTTTCACCCACATCAAGGTGAATTATTGTTCAACTATTTGCCACACAGATACCAAAAAAAAAAGTTTCTTTCTGTCAATATACTGAGAAATGGTCAGAAATAAAACTATTGATGTCTGATGATGACTGCTCAGAGGTGAATAGTACTTGTTATTCACTTCCAAACAAGCCAATCAGCATGAGCAAAAAACACTAAGTCTATTCACTTGTGTGGTATATACTTATAGTAGTTATTTCATCTCTGAGTCACACCAAGTGAACCTCTAGATGTTGTGAATCATTCCCCTAAGACTCTCTGTCTTGATCTTCACATTTAAGAAACAAACCTAGATCACAAATACTTTCATCTGGCCTGACTTGCTGAAGAACTTGGGCTGACATCAACACAACACCATAGTACAAAAATCCAGAAGTGAAACTGTCAGAAGAAAAAAAAGGCCAGAAATGAATAAAATTTATTTTACTTGTGAAATGTTTGATTGGCCTTTCCTTCAAGCTGATCCACAAGGGACTTGTTAAACATTGACAACAAGTAAACAAAAAATGATTTACTCACAAAGTTAGCCAGAGAAGAAGGGTTGTCAATCTATATTCTGAGTTAAAAAGAACTTGGATTTTCACTCGTTCAACAGTCTGAAAACAAATAGAGTGAAAAACATAAGTAAAGGAAAAGGAAGCAATATCATCAGTATCAAAACATGTTGGATATAACCAGTCACTAATTGGATTAATACTTCTTGGAGAATATGTACCTGTGTTTCAATTTTAAGAGTTCCTGGTGGAAGCTTGGAGCCATTGATTCTGGCCATGCGCTCCAATACCTCCATTCCTTTTTCTTTTTCACCTGCAGTAATCAGATACCGAGGTGATTCTGGCAACCACTGGGAAGAAACAAATATCTCCAGTTAATTATTTCATAACTTTGTAAAAATTAATAATTCATAAATTATACCATGGGTGGTTTCATCATGCAATATTCCCAATCACAATGTTTTTACTCTACAACAGACCATTTTATCTGACAGCTTTGTTTAGAATAACTATCAGTACTCGTTCAGTAAAACCAACACTTCAAACTAGTACATGTAGCTTAAAATTTGAATAAAATAAAGTTTTCATATAGTAATAACAAATCTAAAGAGAATATATCGCTCTCAGAAAGGAGTATCTATAGTGAAATCTGGGATATACAGAGATAAACTGTGACAACAGACTCAGCTGTTTCAAGGAATAGAAAGTGAAATATAGCATTTGGAACTTTTCAAAACATTTACTTACCCTACATAAAATAATGAATATAATAACAGGGACTGTTGCAAAAGCAGTCATCCACCTCCAGCCAAGTGTGGGCATGACAATAAGTGCTACAACTACCATAAAAGTTGATCCAAGTGCCCAGAAAAACTGGAAACAGACAAAAACACTCTAAGTAAGCAACTTAAATTTAAATGGTAAAACATTTTTTTTTCACTCCCATTTCATTATTATGTACTACAATTTCCCATTTTTTTCTTTGGGGATTCAGATTTTTTACCATCTGTTAGTGCCGCTTATGACAAAGTTTTTCTTGGCTGGCAAAAATTTAATAGTAAGTTGTAGCAAGGCATTGCTTTACATTTGCCTTTAAAAGTCCAGAGTCTGGAGCAAATCTCCAATTACCAATTAGTCCTTTTCCTTGTTTGGTTGTGTTTTAGTTTGATGTTCTTATGAAAAAATATTGACCTCTGCTGATGGACTAACTCACATAAACTAATAAGTCCTTGTGTAAGATCAATGACAGAAACACTAAAACACACATTACATTTGTTGACAGAAACTTTGCTGAGGGTAGCACTTTGTGTCATGTAGTAAAGAACAATACTTACAGCAAGGCACAAGATAATGTATGACCTCAAATGGATGGGGAGAAATTCAATTAGAAGTGTGTACCTATGGATACAGGGAGAAACAGACTTTCAATTATTGGTTTTCAACCTTCCAAATCATTAAATGGTCTTATATTAATCACTACTTTAAATTGAACCAATAAACTTTGGAATAGTAGGCCAGTTCTTGGATTTGAATGGTTATTAAAACAAGCCTTTATAAATCATTCAAATTCTACATTCATGTGACAGTTCTCTTTTGTTTAGTTTATCATCTCTCACTTGCTGGATTTAACACATACTTTCACTTAAAGGGGGTAAGTTTCTAAAGAAACTGTGGTGCTGCATCGGTGGGAGAGTATAACAGGGTAATTTATTGTTACCGACTGAGTTGAAAATGTAAATTGGCCACTGTAAAGAGTTTAAAGGCTGACGTTTTGAGCATTAGCCCTTTCTAAGAGCAATTGGCAAAGGCTAGCCTTAGAAATCTTTACAGTGGCCAATTTACATTAATTTTTCAACTTAGTTGATAACACTAAATTACCCTGTTATATTTTTACTTACATTGTTGGTATACCACCAATTCCAAATCCCACCAAGCATCTTAATGCAACAAGCCAGAAGTAGTGTGGTGAAAAAGAACTGATGAAACCAAAATAGCACAGCCAGCTCGCACTTATAATAATCATCTAAAAGTGAAAATCATTTCAAAGGTTTAATCCTCAATTTACAAAGCTGCAATGTTACAACATTGTCACCCAATCATGTCAACTTACACTTTTTCGTCCTAAATTATCAGATAACCAGCCCCACACAGGACAGCCAACAGACATACCAACAAAAACAATCTGCAATCACAAGAAGAAACAACTGTTAAAGCTACAGAAGCAAAATAAAGAGGTTCAAAATTGTGGAAAAGCACAGGTGTGTGGAACCCTGAACTATTTAATTGGTACAAAATCAAAAAACAACATTTTAAGAATATATCTGTTCAGGAGAAATATACTTTGAGTCTGGCTTTGGTTCCATCTGTTATACAGTACAGTTGCAAAAATCATTTTTTTTGTATGAAGATAATCTTGCATTACACTGGAGAAATATAACTGCCACACAAAATAATTTGCAAATGAATCAAATATTAAAAACTATGACAATTTAAACAAAGATATTTTCAAAAGAATTCTTAACAGAGGGGGACATTACTGATGGCTCTAATTACTAGCACATTGAAATAATACAGAGAAAGTTCATTTTATCCCTCTCACTCCTGCGATCAAAATATCATTTCCCTTTACTGTCTATCGCACATTCCTTATAATTCTTGACAGTCTTCTTAACATAGTTATATTAAAACACTCACTGTAGTAATGAAAGCCTCTTCCCATGATGACAAATGCCACAGACAGTGAATTGTTGGACTCAAAACAGCAAGCAACAATAGCTCCAAGGAATCGCACATCTAAAAGTTAGAGAATTCCGCAAAAAGGATTCACTTTTTGACTTTTTTAAAAAACTATTATTATATACTCATTATGAACATAACTAAACAGTATTTACAATACAACACACATTACTTTTACTTCTTATGACACATTACTTCCAAAGACTTCATCTAAAACTATAATTGTAATCACTAAATCTCCTGTGTTAAATTTTTCCCTCCATGGAAGTTTCCAACCACTGTTTTCTGGTGCCTAAGACTTTAGTGATAGACCTTAATATATAAAGTAAAATGTTATCATAATTCAGCTAGTTTGGGAAATTTTGAAATTAGGTAAAATTTGAACCACACCATTAATCTTACTCAAATAATCTGTCACAGACAGAACTCTACTGTGCAAGTGCACCACATAATGTACTGAACAATATCAAAATAATCATGCATAAAGCTAACCTCTAAAACTAATGGTAAGTATCTGTGATAAACCTGTTTCCTAAAATCTTATTTTTACTGATATCATTCTAAAAAAAAAAAACAAACAAAAAAATTTTTCTATAGCCTGAGAGGAAATCTCACTTCAATGAAACAAGAAATGTAGGGCTACAAATGCAAACTTACATTGACAAAGCCAGCCATAAGAATAAGTAAGATCTGGAATTTTCCCATTCCAATTGTCTCCACAGCTTCAGACAAAGTGAATGTTTGTTCCACATTTTCTGAAAAAGAGATAAAGCCAAATATTTTTTTCATCCAGACACTCAATCAATAGGTACATGATAGGAACCTTAATGAGTGAATGTCATTACCCTCCAAAACAACGCAAGACCTCATAAAATATGTGAATAGCATTCAGAATAGAAGCATAAATAATTTGTTGCCGCGGTTTCCTGTCTCAGACCAAGTAAATTTTGTTGATTTCAAGTTGATGTTTTTCAGAGGAAGGGAACAAAATGAACAAGGTTTTAGGACACACTATCTGAGCTACTCATGAGCTCATTGAATCTATTGTTTGACCAAATGCTTAAGATCTGAAATATACTTCAGAGGGACACCCCATAAAATCAAGAGTTTTGGGTTAAGTTGTATTAATGTATCATTTAGAGCACATCCTCTCTCTCTCTCGTTAAAGATAAAATGAATAAGAGGAGTACAGTGAAGATGAAGCTTGTTGAAAACATCACAAAATGGTCTAAAATGCCACACACATAAAAGAAAACCAACCAAACAAACAAAAATGATCTGTCGTGCATCAAGTGCATAATTAATCTCAGTTATGTAACTCAACAATGTAGCTTAAAAACAAGTAGAGATGTTCTGATGTGGTCAGATATTCTGTTGGGAATCTAAATTTGACTTTATAATTGTCAACCTTGCATTAACGTAATTAGATATACAGCTTATTAGACTAACGTTTAACCCCAAACGGCTCGTGTTATGAATATATATAGATACATCAATAATTTAACCAAAATCATGACAACGTTAATTTCTTCCTTGACGGCGTCCAAAAAAATCAGTTTACTAATTTCCTTATCAACCAGTTCAGATGTACCACTAAAGAAAGTGAAGGCGGTCTCCATGATTCCATGAGCTCTTCGTTGCACGTAAACTCAGAATTTTTGACTTATCGCTCACCATTGTTGTCGTTGTGTTCTTTCAGCGACTCGTAATTGGGACGCTGTGTGCTCGGGGAGCTCAGCTTTTCGCTTCTCGTTACTGCAACATCTTTCAATTCTAGTTCAACACCGTTTTCAGCCATGTCCACGCTAACAAGTAATTTCCCAAAACGGACACGTCAAGGCCCGGGGGAACTGTTTAATATTTTCGTGACCTTATAAATGTTGTTCTATGACTCTGCGAGTCGTTTAACTCAGTGAAACCTAAAGCAAAGGCCTGTTAACCAACACGTTGTCCTCCGTGGATTAAACACAATCTCTGGAATCATTGTTGTATTAACAATTCACTGCTAATTTGGAGAACTTCAACGATAACAAAATCCCCGCCATCAAAAGAACAATCAGCTAGACTAAATAGGAGTGGAGACTGGAAAGAGTCTACAAGTGCAATCATTAACCCTTGCGCACAGGTTACCCAATCGGAAGTCTTGGGGCATGGGATTCACCTGAGATGAAAACGACCACAAAAAAAGATTGGAAGAAAGAAGAATGAGTAACTTTATCCATCGCTGAAAACTCGTTTTAAACATAATGGTTGGCTTGTTAGCTCAGTTGGTAGAGCACTGCACCGGTATCGCAGAGGTCATGGGTTCAAATCCCGTACAGGCCTGAATCTTTCCCAGGCCTTATTTTCACTACTGTATACTGCTCAAGTAGTGTTCATTATTGCGAAGTAATGAACATATATTCACATTCATTTCGAAAGTCTAAGCGAGTGAAATGTTACATTACAAATTTTAAAAGTTGGAAAATATTGTCTGGAAATCGCTGTGATTCTTTACAAGTAAGTCGGGCTATTTCTTTTAATTGATCAAATCATTAAATTAAACAATTAAGTGCTGTCTAATTGAAACGACGATACGCTACGTAATCAATCTTTTAATGACGAATGCTTTATTTTAGCGTGCGCTTTTTATCCTAGAGCACTCAAATCTGCGCGATGGTTTCTCAAAAGTATCACACTCCATTCTGTATCAAGAACTGTAAGATCGAACATCACGACTTAGTCACCGTTTTGTGCTTGGATAGTTCGCAAAAATCCGACGAGCTTCCCGACTTACTGAAGGAATGCATTGAATCGTACGGCAGGAGCTGGGATCGCAATAGCAATGTCCCTGATCCCTTAGAAGACCTAAGATGTCCCCTGTTATACCTTGCCTCTGCATTCGGCAAGGCAGGCCTGGTGAAAGCACTCCTACAGGACGGCTTTGATCCGCACGTTCTCAACTCCTGCGGTGAGACCGCCTTGCACGGTGCTGTCGAGTACATTTACAGAACAGGTTCCTTGCAGACCAGAGGCTTGAAAGTGGCATCAACTTTAGGGCCCATTAAAAACAGGAGGAAAGTGTTTGAGCGAATTTTGGTCGCTTTGACTGACAGCGATCCCAAGATCATATTTGTACCAGACTACAACGGAAATACAGTTTTTCATGCCGTAGCTGAAAATGTTTGGAATGATCGAGAAAGTGACCGGCTTGGAAAAAGTGCCACATTTTACCAATTCTGTATGAGTAGTATGGTGAACCGGGTGTTAGAGATGGAAGAAGCTGGACAGGTCACAAGAACCGAAACGTTAGAGGGCTTAAATGCACAGAACAATGAAGGAGATACGATTTTTCACATCTTGGCGCGAGATTATGCCTACGGTTTTAAGACCATGAAACAAATTCTGAAAATTTTCTTTCCTGGTGTAGTGCCGTCCATAGTCAACAAAGAGAACCAGACTGTCCCCGACATCGCGTTGGCACGCAATCGTAAGAGAGCGACGCAAGTTTTTCCGGAATTTTCAGCGAAAAGTAAGAGTAACGAAGAAATTTAAAAATGTTTTTTTTTTAAGGGAAAAAAGTGATAACTTCGTATAGATGCGCCGATTTGGTAATGATCCTTAGTAATATAACATGAACAAAATTTTAACAAACTCAGAAAACAAAAGACAAGAAGTCAAAGAAAGATTATGTCATCTCACTATATTCCAACCAATCAGAGCGGCCATTCTTATTTCATTTCAACACAAAACGACTCAGCCACTCGAGAGTGATTTTATTCAATGCCTTCTCTTCATTTCTTGGGGTAAGCCAGGTGCCTTCATATGGATCAAAACTATTTTAAAATAATGCTTGTTTAAATCACCATCGTTTTATTTCATTCAAAGGTGAGAGTGTGATCACAATCAGCTCAGAATCCGACATTTCGGACAACGATTCACAAACTCCCAGCACCTCAAGGGACTCGGGACCTTCTGCGATCACAAACAGAGATCGTCCAATTGTCATCTCTGATAGCAATGTACCACAGATCACCCACACTATCGAAGAAGAGGACGATGGTTCCGATGAAGCCATCACTGTTTCACGGGAGACTGACGCTGGATCAGTGTTTGGAGACACTTCTGCTCCAATTAATTCAAACGTTAGACGGCACGATCTTCTGACAGTTTCGTTTGATAGCAGCTTGGGTAAACTATCGCAGATGGATATCCCTTCGTTCAACAGCCTTTCTGAGAAGTCCAATCAGATCATCTCCCCCTATGAGAGTGTATTAAATGTGCCGGTTGAAGCAGAAGTCATGTGCGCCTCTCAAACTATCCAGTCTACCGTGAACTTGACTTTGGAGGAAAATACCGAGCGGAATAACGCATCTGAAACTGGGGACGCACTTCACGCCGCATCAAAACGCCCTGAGGTGTCGGACACTTGTACTAACGGCACAGATAATGCTCCGTCTGACCCAAAAGCACCCTTCACCCATAAACTCTCTTCCGATGATTCTAAAGTCGCCAATAGCATTACTAAGGACGTAGCTATTGTCACATCTCCCACTGAAGAGCGGATAGCCTTAAGCTCTGTGGAAGTTGCTGTATGCAGCGCTACTGTACCCGAAAAAAGTAATAGTGGGCCTTGTCTAGGGAAAAGCTCTGCGGCCGAGGGGTCCTGTAGACCCGAAGCTCAGACAACACAGGCAGAAAAAAATGACCAATCTGATAAGAACACGATTGAGTTACACGATTCTCCAGAGTCAAAAAGTGGCTCTCCGGACGTGCATGACAAGCAAATCCCATTACAGTCTCCAGTTACTCTCACTAGCATAAGCCGCCAAGACGATGTTGCCTCCAAGCAGCAACCCTCTGTTTCCAAAGTCCTCGAGACCAGTCGCGGTAAGCAGGCTGCTAATTCTTCCCAAGCCAAGGTTACTGGTGAGTCAAAAGCTCGGGATTTACCCAACCGCCCTCGGAAACAAATCCCAGAGTCTTCTGAATACATGGAGGAGTACACCTATGGCATAATGAACACGCCCGTATTAAGCCCACGACGAAACATTGATCACACCAGCGTACGTACGCACCACACCATTTCCGCCACTTCCTTAACGTCGGCCAGCACTGAAAGTGTCCATTTCCAGTCTTTTGAACCATTGGACGCTGATGACGAGGCCTCAGATGAAAAAAGTACTATTTTGAAGTGCATCACAGACAACTCCTTCCTAGAGTTCCTCATAACCGAGGGGCTCGAACTGGATGCGTGCAGCAAAAAGGGCGTGGTGGAAGTGGTTATAGCGCAGTATAATAATAAGCTTGACAAAGTAGAGAGCACTATTCCTAAACTGGCTGCACAGTTAAGGGAAACAGAATCAAATATTACTCAACAGAAGGAGAAAGTCAAACAGCTGCAAGAAGAGATAGAATTTGTGAAGGGAGAGATTGTCAAAAACGAGAATTTGTTTCAGGACTTTACAACCGAGCAACAAGGGTTAAGTAAACAGAGAAAAGCTCTTAAAAGGAAAGTTGCCCGTTGTGAACGTACCATGACAAAGCTACTGGGAAAAGCTAAGAAACCCCGTGTGGAATGAACATTTTATTCCAAACTTTTGTTTCGTTCCCTGGATATTTCGTGTACCGCAAAGGTTTTCTCCTCTTATCTGGACTAATTTCAAATACAAGTTTCCTTGCTTTTTCCTTATCCTCTTCGCTTTCTGTTGAATTTCCACAATTATTCCTTCGAAAGATTTCACTCGTATTTTTAATCCCAGTAAGCATAAAAAGTGCTGAGTTTTTAATTTCTATTTTTTATGCTCCCACAACAAAGTGGTTGAAAGAAAAGAAGCTAAAAGATGAATCAGAAGAAGAAATCGAAGTATGTCTCCAAATTTTTCTCGATTGTGTAATTGTCATGATTTTGACGATACAAATAAATGACTTGCTACAGTTCAGTCAACAATGTCTTTGGATTATCACTCACCATCAGTGCACTGTCCCTGCTCGCTGCATTAGTTAGACTGGATATTTTCCCAAGTTTCTTAGTTCTGACAGACTTTGTCAACAATGCTTGTCACACTCCAAGCCTATTAATCATTACTGAACTTTAAGCCTGTAAGAGGAACTAGCGCATAATTTCTCTTTACATCACTACTTAATCAAACATGAAGGTAAGAATACAGAAAATGACCACCTACACAAGAAGCTCTTGATTGTCAAGTAAATTCTCGATGTCAATATCACTAGAAATGTATAGGGAACAGTATACACATACCCATGTAAATTTTTTTTACATAAGTTGGATCAATATGACAATAATAAAATAGTAATAATAACTTTATTTACCCTAAAAAATGGATCTGTTAGTTCCATAGTAAAAGCTGGTATCAAACCATGTGTAGCTATAATAAAATACACTCCATAACTTCTATCTCTATAAATAATTAAAAAAACTAAAAAAAAAAAAAAAAAAAAAAAACCATATAACTCAGTCTTAAACCTCTTCAAAGAGGTTATATCTCTAATGTACTTGGGAAAACTATTCCAATCTGCTGCTGCAAACTGAAAAGTTGCTTGGCTAGTCTTCGTTTTGATCTTGGGAAGATGCAATAGTCCCATCACGTAAATTTCTATCATGCATACGATATCTACATATAAGACAATCTACCAGTTGATCAGGAAAACTAATATTATGTACAGTCTTAAAATTAACAATTGGTTCATACGTTAGCGTGCTTTCATCGGGATATGAAGCACTTGGGAAGTTTGGAGAGCACGAAAGATGCGTAAGAGTTGCTCTAGGCGTAGCCTCGAGTAAATTTAGCTTCTTGAGTGCTCTTCAAACTTCCCAAGTGCTTCATATCTCGCTGAACGCACAGCTGGTGTATGAGCCAATTGTTTTATAACATTTTCAACCCGATGGAAACTTTTTTTCTCGAGGGATTTGTCTGCTGACGTCGTGAGCGCGCACAATAGAAATATGAAGCACGCTCGCGCAATTGAATTTGATTACACAAATTTACAAGCTAAGTTATAAGACAATGAGGCACGCGAAAAACGCCTACGATTTCCTAAAGTAAGAAGATCTAATTTACAATGCATTTATTGTGAGCAAGTTTTCCAATTGGTATTCAATATTGAGTGCATAGCCTGATTTTGCAAGCGTTCAATCTTTTAAGATACTGTTTTAGAACAATCTAATTGACCCATAATACATGATGGGCGAAATGATTTGCCTATAAATTAACAATAGAATATCCCGAGATAACAAGGTAGAAATTCTATTAAGTATTCTCAGCTTTGGATATACTCTTTGGCAGATATATTTCATGTGATAATCCCAAGATAGATTTCTATCTACATATACACCTAAATTTTCTGGGAGTGTTTGTGATATGGGTCTAAGTGCCTTGTTAATCCCAAGTGTCAAGGGAGGAGGTGAAAATGTAACCTCATCCCTAGTCTACAAGGTGGGGTAAGTAGCATATTGAACCAAACTACCATTTTACTGAACTTGAATAACACCCCATCCATGAAAGGGATAATGTGAACTTTGAGAACCCTGTGTAACCCCTCCTGGTTTAGTTACATCCTTTTAGTGGGGGATAACAAGAAAACACACAAAGAAAGAAAGATACGCAAACCAACTGAAACAACAAAAATGCTCTTTTAATTAACTTTTATCAGTCAAAAGCTTGATTTCTAAGATAGCATTAACTTATCCATTTTAATCAAAGGTTTTTGGTAGAAAGGGTAGTTGCAGATTTTATAATTCCAAACAATTATTACCAGCCAGCCATATTCAAATAC